CGATGTTGACGGTTGGGGTGTTCTTGATGCTCGCCGCCTGCGAGGCGTAGCTGAGCGTGCTGAGGTTCTCCTCGGACCAAGGCGAATAGCAGTCTATCAGTCTAGGGCGCTCGAGTTCGTGCCCTTCGCTGAATGGAGCGCCATTATCTTCGCGCCCTCGCGCCCTTCCCTGGATGATGGAAGGCCCTCCCGCCCACACCGCTGAACGAGAAGCGCGGCTGCCTTCGCGCTCCCCCGGGGAGTCGAAAGTGAGCCTGGTAGGTCAAATAGCATCCGTCTCCATGGGAGGCGGATGAGCTCACATTGCATCCAATTCCATGTCGAAGGAATACGATATGGGGAGTGGATGGGTATGATAGGATAAAATCGATGTATCGGTCTTTCCAGCACATAGCGAACGCTAAGGTAAGTGTCCGGGCAAATAGGGCGCGCGTGCCTTGAGCCCGAGGCAACGGCGCGCGAGCTATGCTCCCGATGCTATAACATCTCCCAAAGAGCTACCCTTAAAGTCGGGAGGGGAGGAGACGGAGAGCATAGCCGCGCAGCCGTTAGGCTTTGCAAAGGCCGCGCGCACAACTGTTTGCAAGAAAGAAAACAGTGTGTACAGTCTGGCCTAACACCAGACTGTAAGGCGAGTTTCCTCGCAAGGCATTTCACGCAAATACAAGATAGCCCCTTCGAACGATGAAAGGCTATCGGCTCAGTTAGAGGTAAGCCAAACGGGCCATACCTCACCGAGCAAATAGGTATTAAGGCAAAGAGCCTGAGTCATACAAAACCCGGCTCGTTGCCAGGCGTGAAATGCAAGGCTCGTTTCCGAGCAACTAGAAGGGCGCCTCTGTAGTAGGCGCCCATGCTGGCAAATTGGACCGCGGGGGGGGGCAACAAGGACAGACTAAAATTGATTAGATTTAGGTTTGTTTCTGTCCTCGGGACCCCGAAAGGGAACAAACTGCTTCACGTCATACTTGAATGACTGAGTGCCTGACATTACTTCCAGAAGCAGCTCCCGATCGATGCTTCCCTTTGTATGCCCGTCTGCGGTCATATCCCTAGTATCACACCACTGCACGTTATGTACTATACCTATATCCATGAGCTCACGTATCCAACTGATATGTCCAAGCAGAGTCCGCTCTGTCGGTATCTTAAGATCCTTGCTTGATAATGATTTATAAACGGACTCAGCGTCTATGGTAAGAGATACTTTGATGGCTAGGCCTCCAACTTCACGCATATCTCGTAGTTGTCGTGGAGTCAGAGCTCCTGCCTTGAGCTCGTGGGGTGTGATGAGCGTAGGGTAACACTCATCAAGGTTATGCGCAGCTACGAGTGCCTCCGCAGCATAGCTGGACCTCACCTGCAGTCGGTGTGATTTGCATAGTCCGTCACAGAGGTGAACGACGGACTTGCCTTGAGGCGAGTTTCCTCGCCGTAGTACATTAGCCCCGCGTATGCCGTTGCCCTTGGTCTCATCATCCTCCTCCCCGGTGAGCTTCCGATGCCCCGAATCGCTGTGGATGTCAACTTCATTCGTAGGCTTCATCCGAGGGAAGGTGATGCGTTTCGGGCTGCTGATCAGCTTTCGCGTCGCAGCAATCTGACGTCTGACTTGCAGATTGGTGGGCTCTTGGATTTTCTGGAAGGAGACCACGTATACCATGGGCCAGATTTGAATAAGAAGGGCATAGGCGAGGGCTCCTCGCAAGCTGACGAACATGTCGGTAATGAGTTTCGTGGCTTTGGCATCGGCCGCCGCTCCTGTAAGTTCTGGGTGTGTGATAGGACGTAGTTGTTTGATATACTCGTCCTGATCCATGATCGCATCCCCTTGATCATTCTTAGTGTAGCGAACGGCGCAGTTCGTGTATGAGTGTTTGTTGAGCTTGCATTTGCCGAACACCTTTTCGACACGCTGTACATAGTCGTCTATATTTCTCTAGGCCTGTCATGTTAATATCATCGACATGTTTTGCCGTTCGCAGATCCTGGCTGAATTCAAATTCAGGGTCGTAACTGGTCGGTGCAAGGCCTATAGCTCGTGTGGTCGTACGAAGTTTGAGAGAGAACGCTCTTGGAGCGTCCTTTGTACCCGTTCCTGGTTTGAGGCACCTGGGGCAGTGTCGGCTTTCGTCATAAGATGAGAAGCCGGGTAGTTCACGAAGTACCTGGGCACTTCCCGGTGGAAGAGTGAAGCAGACCATGCGAGTTTCCTCGCCGGTGGCATGGGCAAGTTCCTCATAGGTCAAACCCTTGAGGAACGCCTTGTCGATATCCATGGATGCTAAGATCCACTCTGGATGGCATGCCGCCTCACTTACCAGGAGTCGTTGGGACTGCCTTCGGGCGGTTCCCGAGAATGTTTTCACGTCGAAAGCCTCAGTATCCATAAATCCACGAAGGACAAGTCTGAGACGAATGGTTTTAACGTTCTCGGTACCCACCTTTACAAACTTCCACTTGTATACATACCTGGATGTCATGATGTTGGAAGCTTTGGATAAATCATACATCTCAAAGCATCGGTTGTCAATCCAGATTTTGAGTTCAGTATACAAAGCTTCACTAACCTCCTTTGGATGTGCTGCTATGTCGGCTTTGGTGAGTAGGTCATCTTCAGCAGAGGACACATATAATCTCATCGTTGCGACCATATCAGTGTCGAGCTGTGCAAGTTGAGTCTGATCCAACACTACTTTTGACATTTCTGATGTAAAACATAACTCAACGTAAGGACCAAATTCGTCACTGTCAAGAGAGTAGCTCTCGTCAGGTGTGGTTGAGCAGAGAGAGACTAGACAAGACTCTCGTGGTTCAGGCTCGTCTCCGAGCGTGTCCGATGATATGATATCTTCTTCGTCCACAGATGCTGAAACCAAAACACATTGGTTGGGCAGCATGGTTGTTGGGACGCACTAGAGATAATCGTCGGTAGTCGTCGTAGGATGAAGATCCATACGTAGCTCGTCGTACCACTCTTCCAGCATCATAGCTTCGATATTATGTTCCTCATTTTCCTCGTAGATTGTCGACAGACGGCCTTCACTCGGCGATGAAGCACCTGGGGTATCTGGAGGAGGCCTGTTTCCAGGCGAATCGTGTTCTCCAGACGTGTTGCTTGAGTGCTGATATTTAGCCAGGTCGTCGTGAAATCCTAAGGAAGGGACACGTGAAGTCAAGCATTGAATAAGTCTGGAATGAATGCTACCAGTGATCTGAGAAATGTTTAGGCCGGTGCCCACACACTCGTAGTAGTGGAAAGCTGGGCTGATATCGTTGTCATAGTGGATCAGCGTAGACCCGGTGGCGTACTTTACTGCAGGTAAGCTTGACACACTTTTGGCAAATCTAACTGCTACTACATGTTCTACTCGGAAGTAGTTTCGCACGAGATACTGTAGTGCTAGATGTACGCGCGGGTGAAACTTGCTGTCGTCTGAAAGATTGAGGTTTCCCTTGTAATCTGGGATATAGCCGAAAACTTTGGCAGGTTTCCCTGCGCCGAGGTGTGCCACATATGTAAGGACGGTTTGCATGGCCATATTATCCATGCCAAGTTCCTGTGTGAGGAGACATTCGATGTATAGTGTGTGACGAGCATCAGGATACATCACAATTACCTCACGAGATCCTGCCATGACAACAATATGTCCTCTTTCAGGCACATTACGGATCACCGGGAATGGGCCATTCCAGCCTCCATGATCGTCTTTAGTGGCAGTGGGTCGATGGTAGTCGACCAAATCCCCTGCAGAGTAAAGGCGAGCACCATCAGGAGCCGTTTTAGCCCTCAGAGCACGATTTGTCTTGGCCACAGCAGTGGCTTGAGTTATGGCTTCTAGGCTAACTTACCTCACACGACGTTCTCGTTCGTGTCCTGATGTCTCGGGTCCCTTGGGAAAGTCAAGGGTGTCGAGGTCAGGAAGAAAGGAGGGCTGACGTCCTGTGTGTGCTTGGTATGGCGATACTCCGTTGTAAAACGTAAAGGCATTGGTAACGAAGATGCCTTCCGCCAATACTCTAGTGAATACAACAGGGATGTTGTGTCTGTTCAGCTCTTCCTCAATCATGTGGAGGACTCCTCTGAGAATGCCGTTTCGTGACTCAATTGAAGTCGCGCGTTGGCCAGGCGCTCGGATACGAAGCTCCGTGCCCTCATGGCCTTAGCGGCATCATTGTTCAGGGCGCCTTCTCCGTCTGAGTATAAGACTTTGAAGGGTCCGCGATAGGCAATCCAGCAGTAGTGGTAGGCGTCAAGGATAGCGTCACGTTCTCTGTCGGAAATTTCTTGGCCTGCTGCCAGGCGAATACAACGATCCATAATGTGAAATATGGTCCGTTTCTTGTAGAACATGAGGTCCATTTCGCCTTCATCGAGCCAGTTACCAGGAAGGCTCACCGAAGGTAGTGTTGAGTTTCCTGGACGTTCCCATGCTCTGCATTCCCGACAGGTATCGCAAACTTCTTTGATCATGTTCAGTCGAACGTTATCCAGCCCCACTTTGTCGAGGATTAGCCTCATCTTGGGTTCCTTCGCATGATGCCATCGCAGGTGCAGTTTACGGAGTTCCTTTTTAACGACATGAGGTTCGTGACTACGGAGATTTTGCAGACTGCGTTGGATGTCGAATCTCGTCCAGTCGGGTAGTCGTGGAGCCCCAGAGCCGGTAGAGGCAAGAGGTTCCTTGTGGCTCTCCGCAGTCGGTCTCCTTCGTCGACTGCATCTGGAGGTGGTGGTACGCCTTGTAGGCGGCCACGACGGGCCGCTACCTGTGGCGCTTCGCTAGAGGACGCAGAAGGCGTGTTTCCACGCTCGGGGGCGTCTCGTAGCATGTCGTAACTGCTGGCACCAGATGTCGGATCAACGTTACCGAAGGATCGTGGTCGCGGTGGCCTGGCGTGTGCGCCTTGGCGGCCACCTGAAGCTGAAGCTTGGCCCTCACAGGTTTAGGTAAGGGTTTCCACCAAGCTGGCACGGTTTTGCCTTCGGGGTCGCGGTCGTCTGGAAGTTTAAATGGTTCAGCAAAACGACATTTACCAGGTTCGGTATCGAGGTGGTTCTTAACACCT